GAATTGGGTTGGGGAACCAGTGATTGTTGAACTCCCCTTTCCTGTGATCTCTAACTCCTGGCCATGCTGTCTGGGGCTGTTGAGAATGGCTGTTCAGCAACCTCTTCCATGAAACAGGAGGATATAACATATAGAAAACCCTAATGCAAAAACTCACTTTATGAGTTCAGTAAATGCCATGTTGGCTAGCTCTTCTCATTGCCCAAATAGTGTTCCCTCTTCTCTCTTCCTGCTCAGCATTTCGATGTTGTAAGAAGTTATTTATGCATACATTTACTGTACAAGTCTTTGCTCAGCCCTCCCTACTTATATATTGGGACCTTTTCATGAATAAGAGCCCTTTTTCATAAACATCTAAGAATTATCTGTCAGGAGATGGGATTCCAGCCATGGGTGATTTTGCTTATGAGGCCTCACAAAGTCCTCCTGCTATCAATGAATATGGATAAGTGTTCTTGGGAAGATATCATTAAAATTGAAAAGTACTTTTGCAATTTGCAAGTGGTGGAGCCTCAGTGACAAAGCACAAGCAGATGTTTTCTAATCTGATTCTTATTTACTGATATTTTATCATGCTTTTTATTGATTTCTGAAAGCCACGAGAGACCCTTAATCTTGTTCCTCCATTGATTTGCAGATTAAAGTCCTTCCCACAATATATATTTTTCATACTTCAATGGATAGCTTGACAGTTTTGGTCAGAAAACTGTGTATTAAATAATTCTGAATGGAAATTTGCAAAAATCAAATGCCTAAGGCATCACTAACAAAGTAAAAATTATTTCTTACTTGGACACTGCTAAGAGTTAATCCTCTTTCATTTTTCATAACAGAAGAGAAATTTTGCAAGACTTCTTTTGCATCTCTGCTCATCATAGCAAGAAGCTTCCTGATTTGGTTCTTTGGCATAAGGCAGATCCTCTCAGATGAAGTGAATCATAAACCTTTCCCCCCAAATTAACCAGGGTAAATCATTTAATGGTTTTCTGGCTTTAGCAACATCTCAGTCAAACATATTCATATAAACATGCATCCTATAAATCAGGCTGTACAGATATACAAACTAATCCCCTTGTTGCATTGCCAAGGAAGACTAAACAGATGATGAAAGTGGTCAGGAATGAGACAGAAACAAAGGAGAGGATCTGTTTAAAGAGAAAGATTTCATATCCTTCTAAGAAGAGAAAGACTAGTTCTACCCATGATTCTTGACACATACAATATAGTGGGACTGACATCTGAAGAAAACATGTCTAGGATTAGGTTCAAATGACTCCAAGTAAATCCACTGGTGCAAACTTTCTTTAGGGACAGGATTCACTTGATGTTTATTTGGACAGCAAACAAAAGCTATTGTATAGACTATTGGTAGCAATTCAATATTTATTAGAGGGAAAGGTCTTTCCTGTATTGGTTAAAAAAGGTAGGTAATAAGAAAACGGAACTAAGAAAGGAAGAAAAAAAGATGGTAGAAAGTAAAGTAACATTTGCACAAAACTGTCCATCTCTTGCCACTGCCTGGAATCTTGCCAACACCAGAAAAAGGATCAGGTACAGTGACTTTGGATAGCTTTCTATTATGCAAAAACAACATTTTAGGGAAAAAGCTCTATCTCTCCCTGTTATTTCTATATTTGGATAATAGAGTTATCATGGCATTTTTTTATCTGCCCTTATTTCATGGCAGACATGTGGAGACACAGGCAGAAATTACAGAAGTTGGGGTCACCTTCCTCAGGATTTCCAGCCTACGTAGACAACGGCTAACTTATCAAGAATTCACAAGACTGATAGGAAAGGCTAATCTAATCTAGGAGTTAAGAGATGGGCTTTGTGTATCTCGCAGGTGACAATACCTGGCTAACTTCACCTGGGCTTGGAAACTAAACACTGTTCAACCAGTGAGTTCTTGCTTGAGAGAACATCAGAAGGTCTCAGCCCTCTATGTCTCAGAAGAAGGCAACAGTAAACCAGTAATCTATTCTGCCATGCAAACTCCATTGTTCACCTGTTCAACAGAAGAAATTAAGAAGGTACTGAAGAAAACGTGGGTCAGCATGAACAACCAGAACATTTGCAACCAGTCCCAGCATTTTCCCTCTTTAAGCCCTGGTGGTAAAGTCCACCCATGCAAAGATCTGTTTTGCATGCTACATCTTCCAGGCATCGCAGCTTGCACAATTCCATTTTAAATTCTGAAAATGCCACAAATAGTGCTAGTCAAGTTCACCCCAGAGAATTTATTCAGGCAGGACCCAACAGATCACCTTTTAATTCTTCCCCACAATTGTCTAGGACTCTAAAAACACAGAGCAGCTTTATTTCTGAAATTCTGAAAGATTTTCTCTGTGCACGTTGAAAACATTGCCAGTACCAACATAGTTTTTTTTTAATTAACTATTCAAATTTTGAAATTCGATTAGTGTTAATTAAGGAAAACCTACACTTTTCTTCTAAAGGAAGCCTTGGCTGGCCTCACCCACTGAGAAGCAAATACTCAACTTCCACTTTACTACTCTAACTGGAAAATCTGCTTACAATGAAACAGCCAACCCACTGACCTTAACAAAAGGCAACCAGTTCATTTTCTGAGCAGCTGCAGAACAACACCAAAGAGAGACAATCCACATCTTGGGATCTATAGTCAGTGCACTTCTCAGATCAAGTATGTGTCACATTGAACTCAGCTCCTGGTATCTTCACAGTGCAACCATGTTGTTTTCTTATAACAAGGAAATGGTTTATCATTGTCTTCTTCTAGGATTTTCTTTCAACTTCTCAGTTTAGCCTACAGCCTGGGGATTTCAGAGTAACCTCCCATCCAAACATGAACTCAGCTGGATCCTGCTAAGTTTCTGAATCCAGAAAAGTGGACTTATGAAGAATTTTAGGAGGACATTTTTTCAAGATAGGGAAAATGAAGGTAAATTTTCAGTGGCCATCCAACGTAATTCTAGTCTTGAGCATGGGAGCACAAGGCAACTCTTTATTTGAATGCACTGGTAAGAAAGGCTCACTACCATAACATTAAATCCAGTCTTGTCATTAAACACACAATTGGCTATGTCCCCCCAACCAGCTCCAAGCATGGGCTTCTCTCAAACTCTGAATGTTTAATAATTCATTTTTTAAAAAGCCTTCAATAACAGATTACAATTGTTAATTGATAAAGCACTAAAAATCTGTCTCACATGTAAATTGCGTCTGTATAACTTCTTCCCTTATCCCAGTTTAAATCCTACATCAATGGAACTGGAAATGAGCTGTAGATCATGGAAGCTTAGCCTTTTTAATACAATGTATTAGTCTGAAAAGATTCCTTCTGATTTTTGGCCTGCAACCAAAGGCAACCCCTAATGTTTGAATAAAACTCTTGCTTTATTTCCTAAGCATTTAGATTCATCTTATCTTTCTGCTAGGATAGTTTAGTGAATGTTGATTGTGTGGCTAAGAGAAACCAAGGTATAAGAGCATGGTATTTTAACTTCCAGTCCAGCCCAGAATCTTGAGATCTGCTGGTGGTTTCCTATCCAAGTACTCATCTGATCCAATCAAAATAGGCCCTTAGAACTATTTACAACAACCTTCCTGCCAGATAGGTAAGACCTCAACTCCTATAATCTTCAGTCAACAGATCAGAGAAGAATAGACAGCAACATCACAAATGATGCTGGAGAAATATTGAGATCTTGAATTACATCTCAAATCCTTTGCAAAGTTATCAACTTTATTTATTTATATAAGTGGACATGTAGTCTGTCCCATCCTGAAGACTCAAGGCAAACCATATATTAGTTAATTTACCCTACCCCTGGTCAGTAAAAGCCAGGGGTCTTTTTTTTTTTTTTAATGAAAATGTCTTACATCACTTCCAGCAGAAGACACATGGGCAAATCTCTAGGAAAAGGAAACTCCAAAGTTGAGGTTTCCCGCTTAAACAAAAAAAAAAACCCTAGTACATATGATTGTCTCTGTTTTGGAACACATACAACAGTCCTAAAATCTTTCTCCATTGATGGGTTAAAACAGGAACAAGAAGGTGGCCAATTAGAAATATTGCACTGTCAGTGTGGGAAGGAGAGAGCTCTGCAGCCCCCGACAGGAAGTCTAAATAATCTGTAGCCAATCTCCAAAGATTCCCCACCTCTTCAATGACGGGACAATCCCACCCCTAAATGTAACAACCCTGGAAATATTCCAGAAGTAGGCATCCTTCATGCTGGCCATACTGTAACGTAACCCTACTTTCCAAAACAAATTCCAGAGCTCAGAATTCTTCACAATTTCAGGATGCCTTTTGCCCTCTGTTGTAGCTGTACCTGAGACTTTAACCACCAGCACCGTCAACATCACCATCATCATTGTTCAATGTCAGGGTATTTCATAAGTCATTATGAATACTTTCCCTTGATTCTAGACTGAATACCTTGAGAAACACACCAGTCGCACACTTCCCACCCCCAAATCCAGCTTCGGTAGACACAGGCCACAACGGTGTCTCCAGCGATCGCAGACTACTGTCAATTTGCCTGCCTATCTCCTCAAAGAATCTGACAATACATTTCACCTTTGCACACCTTTCTACCACAGCAGAGGAGCTCAGAACAGCTTCCTTGATTGCATTTCCTTTTTCTCCTTCCCTTCCACCCGAGGCTCCAACGCCTAACTCGCTCAGTTTCTCTGCAATTAAGTCCCTCCAAGCTGCAGGGGCTCAAGATCAACAAAGAAGGATGAGGCCAAGCCTGTCTGGTCTGGCATTCACTGCGATTCATTCCCTCCCCACATTCCTCTTTGGAGACGTCCTCAGCCCAAAATCACTCCTGCCCAACAAAGAGATGGAAGAAAAAACTTGCAGATAAATTGGGGGTAGGATCCGCCGTGATTCAATCACTCCGGGATCGCTGCACGCGCTTTCTAACTCTAAGGGGACCACTCGGATGCTCAGAAGTTCCCATTTTCAAGCCCCCCCCCCGCCCCCCGGACGACCAGGAAGCGCTCACCTCTGTCTTGCTGCTGTATTTCAGGCCCGAGTGAGGGACCTTCGCTTTGGCCCCCGAAGGAGGGCGATAAATGTTCATCTTCCTCGCGTTAGGAAGCCTTCATGTATCGACTGCTCGTCCTCCCCGGGGACAGCGATGGCGGAGGGGAGAGCCGGGAAGCCGAAAAGGGAAATCGACCCCCTTCAAGTTGCCCCCAACTTTTCTGCTCGCTCGCGGGCGGCTCAGGAGGCGCGAGGGGAGCCCGGGCGGGGCGAGCCAGGCGGCGTTTCGGGCAGGAGCCGCGGTCGCTCCCGCTGGCTTCCAGACGCAACTTTTTCTTCAAAAAGGAAGAGAAAAAAAGCCAGACGGGGGTTGATCCACACACATCCGGTCCTCGCGCTGCGACTCCGAGAATGAATTCTTCTCCCCCCCCCCCCCCCCC